ATTTGCTCTGCATTGTGAATAGAAGGTTGATTTGTAAATACATCTAAATAATATTTCATTAGCTAGTTTTTCATAGCGCATGATTCGATATTTTGAACTCGTAAATTTGTTGTTCTTTCTTGAAGCATTCTTCATAAACAACTGTTACATATCGGCCTCGAAATTTAAAAATATACCTTGCGCTACATGGATGATTTCAAAGTTTTTGTTTGTACTTTCAATAATCCTTGAGTGCTCTTGGAGCAAATACTTATAAGGCTTTATTTTTTGCACTTCTATGGCTCTAATGCTCCTTTCGCACAGAAGGAAGCCATGTCCGGGCTCGGGGTACCTGTGCTGTATTGGACTGATAGTACTGTGCTAAAACCAGTCAAGTCCAGGACTGCGCTGTCTGACAGTTGCATCGACTTAAGGTCGATCATCCCTTTTTTTCAACTGTGCGATTGGGGCAGCATTAATACATATTGTATAATTATGGTTTGTGTGTAAAAATGACTGATTTGTGACAATCTCTTGTTTTTTTGTCAAAATATCAGCCTTTTTTTGGTCAATATTTCTGCCGCGATAGCTTCAGAACAAATAGGAGCACAGACATGAGATTTCGTGATTGCATTACAAACGGATAAAGGAAGGTCGCATATGGTTCATTTGATAGATTACGTTTTTTTATTTCGCAAAAATATTTTTTTCTTATCGGAGAAAAACAATTTTTCAGATACTGTTCATACTGGACATAGAGAAGTTTTAGAACAAGCCACAACAAAAAAATAAGCTTTCTACTTCAAACGGTCTCAGAGTAGTCGAGGAAGGATTGGTATTAATCGTAACAAAACCACGCCTCCCGCTGACCACGCCTTCAGCGAGTGATAGGTGGCTAGATATAAGACAGGTGCCTTGCTTGGCATGCTAATTATTCACCGTGTTGCCACCCGTTCGATGTATTCCTCGAGAGCCAAAGTATTCTATCTGTGATTATTGTTTTGTTATAAGTTTGTTGTTGCTCTGTTTTGTGATTAAGATGCCTAAGGCCCGTCCTCCCACTATAAAAAAGACGTCACATGTCAGGTCGAAAGAATGCTCTAAAAACAAGGTAAGTATTGCTTTACTATACAGAAACACGTATGTTAACATAGGTATTTGTTCTGCTTAAAGGCAATGAAAAATTCATAAAAGAAAACACTGACAAGCCAGGTGTCATGTATTGACTACCTCATTTCCAGAAGCTTGTAGTTTTACATCACGCATCAACTACCGAACGTCAATTTCACTTTATCCACCTCCCTAGGTACCCTAAGATGCCTGGAGGTAGGTCGGATAGCCGTAGGTTAGCCGATCGTTGCCGACGCCAGAGGGGGTCTCGTTAGGTGTATGTGTCTATATTCAGCTCATAATCCTGTAATTAAATTCCCCGGATACGTATAAGGAATTTAATTAATCGAAGTAGTCTAACTACCATGGGTGACTCGGAATAAGACGGAAAACGAATCGGAAGACTACCTTCCAAAATACACGTGGGGGCAAGGTACTACACAGGGTGTTCCTTAATGATATGCGAATATTGAAGTGTGTGAGTCTACATGCAAAATTAATGTTAGTTTGCTTCATAAACCATGGTCTAAAAATGTTTCCTTACAAAAAGTCGGGGAGTTGAAGTTTTAGGACAAAATGGAAATTAGAGTAAAGCGGGGAAATATGGCAACATAAATTTGAAACGCTCACATTCTGGCCTCCATCGGACCTAGTCGCAATAAGATTATTGAACCTTAGAGCTTACACATGCAGGTTTGCGGTGTGAAAAACTCTCGTTGCCCTATCCCATCGACAAAAATACTATAATCAAAAATGTCCAATGACTCACTATTGCCATATTACCCGCACCTGGGTAATATGGCATCTAGCTCTGGGTAATAAGGCAACATGTTTTTCGTAACGTAAAAATTAGGGAATTCAACTTTTATAGAAAATGCTGATAATTGCAAAAATACACTTTTATTCCAATGAAACACTCAAAAGTAAAAAACAATACAGATAATCCTAATAATGTAACTGTTAATATACTTAGGTATACTGGTAAATATCCTTTAATGTGATTTTGTCTTGGTAGCTATTTCGGATACGGCGTACACTCTTCGCAAAATCTGTCAGATTGCGCACATATTTCATGGACCATTTCAAACATGTTACGCATTGGAGCCAGTCGCATTTGGGAATCTTTTTTATCGTAAAAAATACCCATGACATGCTGCACAAAATTCTGACTCATCAGTATCGATTTCTGAATCGTTGCTTTCTTGGGTTACTACCTCGGTTTTCGGTGTCTGACGAATTCGGACTTGGTGATTTTTTAGTTTCCTTTTTTGTAACTACCATTTTCTTCCTAAGATCAACAATACTTTGCGTTTTTTTTCCGTTCTTCTTTTTGTTTTAATTTTGTTCTTTTTACTTCTTCCATTGCTGGTTTTGCGCAAATTGTTTCTGGCGAAGTTAGTATTTCGGCATGTTGTTTTCGTCTATAGCCACTTGGTCCTGGTTCCACGCATGGAACCGGTGAAATTGCTTCAAAGGGGTTTCTATTTTCGGGGTTGTTGACTGCAATGACACTACCTGGTCTGTGGTCGTTTTGCTCCTCACTGAGAATGTCTTGTGGGTTGTGTTCGTCTTCAGCTGATGGTTCGTCGTTAATGGTAAAAGCATAATCGGGAATTTTTTCGGGATTAAAAGGGTAAATCCCACAGGTTCTGAAATCGGAAGTCCCTTTTTGAAAAGATGGGCGAACTGCAATCGGTTCAGTTTTCGACCAGGATTGTTATGAACCCAGTTTTGATAAGTATGAGCCCAATAAGATTTTAAGGGTTTGAAGAATGAGCGATCAAGCTGTTGAAGCCAATGTGTGGTGTGGCTGGGCAAACAAAACAGGATGACGTTATTCGCTACAGCAAAATCCAACAGTTCGACATTAGAACAGTGCGAAGAATGTCCATCCATAATTAATAGAACCCTACAGGCACCTTTCCGCGGAACAAAAAATTCACGAAACCATTGGAAAAAAATTTCAGATTTGAGATAAGCTGACTTCTCGCCCATAACAACCTTTCCTCCAGGTGGTAGACCATCTTCAATTCCTTTTTTTTTATTTTTTCCCTTTGAATACACAGCAGGGTGGGAAAAAACTGCCTTCTGCGTTTACACGCGTTATAACGGAAATAGTTTTCTCCCTTTTCAGCACTCGTGATACAGTTTACCATTTTAGTGCCTTTAGTTACTACAACTTTGCCTGGATTATTATTTAACTGCAATCCAGTTTCATTGAGATTAAACATGTTTTGAGGCTTATTTAATAAATTATTTTCTGTCAAAACGTTTCCTAGTAGTTCGAAATATTGGGTACATTCTTGTCTCGTCATGCCTTTGGCTCTGGCAGTAGACATTCCTTGAGCCTTACGAACTGCCAGTTCAGGATGTCGTCTCATGAAGGTGAGAAACCAATCTTGACCTGCCCTTTTTCGTTCGGTATTAAAATTATGTGGAATATTTTGTTGGATCGCAAAAGAATATGCAAGCTTTTTTATATCATGAGCAGATAAAGCAAAGCCGTGCGATGCCATATTTTGTATATATTCGACTAAACTTGTTTCTTTACCATACTGAGTAAGCTTTTGCGACATAATGCCACTTTATTTAAGTTTCCGACCGCATTCTTCTCATTAAGGTTCTAACTGGAACATTATAAGTACGACTTATTTCTCGAACCGATCCTTTACCTCCATGAATATCAGATACTGCATTCCGAAGGTCTTCTTTCTGACCATTGAACTCTTATATTTCTTCGAATATAAGAACGTGGCATTGTGTTAATCTGAAATAAGCAGAAAAAACGCACCACATTAGGATCCGTCACATGAAAAAAATAAATGGGGTAATATGCCGCACCGTCACTTTTATGCGGCTTATTGCCCCTCTGCGCAACAGTAACATTTCAACTAAAACGCACAAACCCCGTGTAAATCCAGGACGCAGTACATGTGTTAAATGTTAGGTCATGGATCTTACTTTGCCTAGCAATAAGGATTATTTAAATCGGACCATGAAAACTTGAAAAAATTCTTATCATATCTCATATAAAAATAATTTTTGGTTTGTACTTACCGGTTTTTGGGTCTATCTTACACTAAATCAAGTAATTAACACACATTCAAAGGTAACGGGCTTGCTTTGCATTTATGGCGACAGATTAATGTGGTAGGTGCCCTCTGTAACCGTCGGAGGCACTATGAGCGAAGTGAGGCGTATTACCCGTTGCGGCATATTTCCCCGTTTTATTCTAATTCATATTTTCAGAACCGCTTCAGATATCTTACTGATATTTGGTACGTAGTGAAAGTTAATAAGATTGCATATATTTCAATGCAAAATAATTTTTAGCTTTCACAGTGGCGTGCGTACAAGTATTGACTTCGATATCTTTTAAGAAAAAAATTATAAGACAACGGTTTTTTGCCAAATCAAAATTATTTTTGAATTTCCCGTTCAATTTAAAACTAATGATCTCTCCTGAATTTTTTCCTTTGCAGCGTTATTTTTGAATTCTATTGTTCGAGAAAATTAATGTAATAATTAAAAAAATGCAATTTAGCAATAAATATCTAGTTGCTCTGGAATATCACTGGCTTTTGACATCAGAAAAGTCTCTGTTATTCAAATCTGTTCGCTGTAAAATCTTTTTCATTATTTAGTTTTTACAATCTTGTTAATAATGGTGAATTATTCAAACGCAGAAATGGCGGAAATGCATTACGTATATGGCCTTGCCGACGGTAATGGTGAGCACGCCAGACGAATTTATCACCAGAGATATCCCGATCGTGCTTTTCCAGATAGTCGAACCTTTTCTAATATTCATCGTTGTCTTGTTGAAACTGGTTCTGTCCGACAAGAAACATCTGAAGGTAGACATCTAAGTGTGAGAACACCTGAAATAGAGGAAGCAGTGCTGCACGAAGTCGAAGAACATCCTGAAACGAGTACATGGAAGATCGCTAGACACTTAAATATTTGCAATCAAAACTGTTTGGAGAATTTTAGTGAATTTTTGTTATATCGTTAGCACGTTTAAAGAGTACAGGCATTACTTCCCATTGATTTCCCAAGGCGCGTGACCTTTTGTTAGTGGTATCTTTAAAAAAATACACAAAATCCGCAATTTGAATCAATGATTCTGTTGACGGACGAAGCTACTTTTTTCCCGAAATGCAATTCAGAATTTCCACAATAATCATTTGTGGGCAGAAGAAAATTCTTATGCCGTAACCGAAAGCCATTTCCAACACCAATTTGCGGTTAACGTATGGGCAGGAGTTATTGGCAACCACCTTATTGGCCCATTCTTCCTGCCGGGACGACTGGACGGACAGATTTACCTCAATTTTCTTCAACAACAGTTGCCTTTGCTGCTAGTAATAAAAAACATTATGTGGTACATGCATGATGGCTCACCAGCGCATTTCAGTGTAGCGGTTCGTAATTATTTACAAAACTGTTTATCCAAATCATTGGATTGACCGCGGTGGGCCCCAGGAATGGCCACCAAAGTTCCCAGACCTGGACAGCTCAGATTCTTTTTGTGGGGCTATCTTAAGACACTAGTGTACACAGTCCCATTAACACTGTAGAGGAATTAAGAGCAAGAATAGTTGCAGCGTGTGAAAGAATAAAAAACACTCCAGGGATATTTCAACGAGCGCGCAATTCCATGAGAAGGAGGGCGGAGACATGCATACTAAGTGGGGCCATTTTCAACAATTTTTGTAATCATTTCGTGGTTTTAATGTCATGCTTATGTTATCAGTTGTTGTTGTTCATTACCCCTAATGTGTTTATTTTTCCTTATTAAATTAATAATAATTTTGCAAGTTAGACAATAGAACGGATTTTATTTTTTTACTCAAACATGGCGCATCGGAGGAAAACAATTCACGAGAGATCAATTTGTTTAATTGGAAGGGGAATTCAAAAATAATTTTTATTTGGCAAAAAACTATTGGCGTACACCAGACATTTATAGAAAACCTGTGTTGAAACGAGTGGATTCCTATAGAACGGGGATTTTGTAATGACAATATATGTTTATTATGCGGTCCTATGTATGATGTTCCATTTTTGGTAACGAGTTGTGAATCTCCCTGTACATATGCTGAGCTTACAGGTTAGATAGTGTATAATATGCTACGTCTATGTTGTCAAAAATTGTTGAACATATGATACAGTGGTTTTTCCAGTTTTGCAAAATTCTCATTGCCTACCGAAAATTCAAAAATAAACTTCAAACATATTTTTCCCGAATCTATACCACTAATCTACAAAAAATACGGCTATGTAGGACACAGCATAAAACACGTTTATGAGTTTAGGGGTCCCTGGAGCGGCCCATGGATCTGAAAATTCGGCTAGTGTTATTTGACCCAATACAGCAGACGCTCGATAATGTAAACTAATTTAATCCAAGTGTGGTTCACATTATCGAAATGTTACATTAGCGAACGTGATTTATGTAATAATTGATTTATTAAAAAAAAAACGTTTAATACATACAATTTATAACAAAATAAACAAATATTCTAACAGCAATTAGTATTTTTTTAATTAGAAGAAAAATAATTAACAATCTTTGTCTGCGTAAATTTGCGCTTAGCATGTCTTCCAATGCCTGCGCCCGTAATTTACGAAGAACTAAAATATCCGTGTATGAAACTTCTTTTCTTTCAGCCCAATCTAAAGCTTGGTTAAAAACTTGTATAGCTTGCGCGTCGGTAACTACACTTCTGACTTCAATGGGATCGTTCTCATCATGCTCACTGTCCATATCCTCCTCCTTATCAGCATCATTCTTCTGCTTATATTCGTTCCATAAATTAATATCAGCAGGAGTACAAACAATGTAGGGATTCACTGTTTTCAATAAATCAACAACATCCAATGACACACTAATGACATTATCATTAATTGGATCGCAAACGTTCTCTAATTACGCTTAAGGGGACATCGTCTTCTTCATCATCTTCACTATTGGTACAAAAGAGCTCGGTAATTGTTTTCATCAATTTTTCTTTGAATGGTTGCACTAATTGTGATTGTGCTGATAATTTTTCACCAGATATAGACAGCAGTCGAATTCCATATCTTGTTTGAATCGTTGTAGCCAGCCATCACTAGCTACGAAATTTCAGTTTTGCATTTAACAGTCTCGCTCTCTGTTTTAAGTACTTCGCCACTAACTGGGACATGATTTTCCTGTTGTTATAAAAACCACTTATACAGAGAATTTTCCATTTTAGGTGCCTCCGCATTTTTTAAAGTGTTTCTTTTTCCCGGACCTCCAAATGTATTGCACGTTCTTTGTAAAATTTGAGTTTTCATACGCTTAATTTTACAGATTGTTGCTTTCGATACTCCATATTTTTCGGCTAACTGGGTCACTCCCGCACCTAGTGCAACTTCGTCTATGATTTTCACTTTCTCACTCAACTTTAAACACTTTCTTTTATAGGATGTGGATGCCATAGTCGTAAAATATATTAACGCGTGCAATGTATTCACTTGAGATCAAAAATGAAATACATACGTACGTATAAACGTATCCTAAACGATCATACTACTGACCGAGTTTGTCGTATTTTATCGCAGAGGTGAATCCCCTACACTCTACATCATAAATCGGGGGACTCCCCGACGCCCGACATAAATCATCGAGGCTTCAGCATTTTACCGTCGCGCTGTTTCCGTGCGCCGAGAGTTGTTACGTTATCGAGCGTACACATTGTTTACGTTATCGCGCGTTCCGTTTGATCATATAGAACGAAGTTTGTGTTTACATTAGCGCAAGTTTTCATTATCCCGTGTTTACGTTATCGAGCGTCTGCTGTATATCCTAATTTAGATAATCTAGATTTGGATGCCTTCGGGGGCAATTTTCATACGTAGTATAACAAGAATGAATATTACTGTTGGCGCCATCTATTGCGAGACTCTACTACTTGCCAGATCTTCATAGCTGACATCTGTTTTTACGTATATCACGACCCGCACATGCCGCTTGGCCACATCTATTGAGGGCCGTACCAGTGACTCGCCCTCTAGATCGACGCGAGTGACCTCAAAGACTCTGGAATGCGGCTATGTGGCTCACCGGAATCTACTTAACCCAAAGATGCGGACTGTACACCTCGACGGCCGGGAGAGGCAAGCAGAGTAGAGTAGAGTAGAGCAGAGTGGAGTCAAGTTCAGTCAATAGCCCGTATTATAAAAATGAAGCATTTACTTTGAAGTAAAAGGTACAAGCAAAAGGTAGAAGTAAAAGATTTTGCTCTAACTCGTATTCATAATCTCTACCTCTTCATTGCAAGCAAATGCTTCGGGAAAATAAGTAAAAGGTACGGAGATTAGCGATTTCGACAAGATATGACTTGCAGCGTGCAATCAACGCGTATGTGGTCTGTAACGGATGGGGTTGATCTTATTTGTCTCATAATTAAAAGCAGTTCGCACGTCAATTGATGTAAAGAAGATCCATCTAACTTATTTGTGCAGATATTTTAAAATGAATAAAATA